TATCTATCTATCTATCTATCTATCTATCTATCTATCTATCCACACTTCTAAAATAAATAATTATTAAAAAGTAAATATATTTAAAACATATTTTTTGCTATTACAGGAATATATTTCTATACTTTCTACAATAAATAATGAATATATGTTTATATCATGTAATTATTATATTAACATTTATATTTATTTTGAGGGATTTGTAAATCTTACGCTAAATAAATGGCGTCAGTTCCTCTCCACACCGACACCTTTCTGATTTATGCCAGTTTGACTCTATTTCACTCTGTAGAATACCCCAACTCAAATATTACTCTATGATGTTGGGTTATAAATGAAGAAGAGTAAACACTCATTCTCTATTTATTTATAATAGAATTTATAATTCATAAACTATCTATATTATTATTAAAACCATTCTTTGTATTAAATAAATTAACATTATATTTTATTTATTTAATGTCCACATGAAGAGACCGTGCTGCCACCAGCTGGACAGATGTAAACTTACCATCCCAGTTTTGACTATTCTTGTGCCCTCAAATATCCTGGTGGTGTTAGCTACCATAACATAGAAGAAAAACATGAATGAGAGGGAGCACTTTTAAAAGCAACAACTAAACTAGCATTCATGAAAGCCTTGTTTTGTGTGCAGGTGTTTCTGTACCTCTGAAGAGCATGCTCTGGCTGAAGTCACTGCGCTTGTCATTCAAACACACTGCCTGGACGCGGAACAGGTACAGCACATCCGGCGACACTGGTGTAATGACAGCCTCCTGAAACACACACACACACACACACACACACACACACAGTGTTACATATACAGTAAACATACACTACGTCAAGAACTGAAACGCCTCCAAAAAGTCATCTTACGCTTCCAGTCAAAACACAAAAGAAGAACGGTAGACACACCCTCACGCACACTTTGAAGAGGTCTGAAGGATGAAGGTGAACAGCTTGTTCTCTTCTCCTTCACTTGATGGTAACACCTTTCTTCTCAAGTCATTAGCATTGAAAATAGACAGTCTCTATCAGCCTCTCCCTCACATAACATTCATTACCACCTAAAGCACCTCTGAGATGCTCAGCTGGGACACAAAGGCATTGGAATTCAGTGAGTGAGGTGCTGATTTATTTTTAAAGGCTGTTTATATAATGTACACCTTTATCAGTAAATTATGCAACACTATCAGGATCTTTCAAAGAAAATATTTATATACGTTACACTTTAGATTAGTGTATAGTCAATATATGTCAAATGAACTATATCCCTGTAAATGTAGTGTGTAATAATATTAGGGGACACATAATTTAATTTGATTCTTTATTAGTGGCGTTTGCTAAGGCAAATATCACTGTTCATATATACTTATTTCATAATATTACTGTTTTTATTGTATTTTTAACAAATAAATGCAGCCTTGGTGAGCAAAAGAGACAAAATAAATCTTACAGACCACAAACATTTCAATCAAAGTGTATAGTTAATTGTGCAATAAAGAACACGATAATAAACAGCCATTTCAATGAAATGAGTTTGACTGCGAATCAAGATTATATTTTAGATCCTAGGCAGGACCATATGAAATCTTTCTCTCTTTTTCTTCACATTTTCTGCATAAATCTGCAGAATTTTGAATGATAAAATATGCTTTCAAACATGCATTATCAAATTCGATTTTAATTTTTTTTGAAGACAATGTGAATGGAGCATGGCTGCGCACCATTATAGTTGTGGGTGGTTGTCAGGGCATAAGATGCTCATGAGTGTTTGCTAGTGTGTTTTTATTACTGGGCTAAATCAAAAAATAATAACAATTTTAAAACGTGTTCAAAGGTGCGTAATACAGAGTACTACACTTTTATTGGTAGCTGATACAAATAATAATAAAAAAGGACCATGGAAAGGGTAGTGCATATTAAATTAGGACTCTAGCAAGTAAACACTTGATTAACAAATCTACTTTGCTGGTCAGATATGGGCTACATTTTCTTCATCACTGCCTGTTTCTCTCAATGGTCTCAGTCTCATGCAGGCAGCCTCATTTCATCTTTGAGAAATTAAGATTCAATACAATTCTAAGTGTATGAGCAATAGCCATTATCATAACTCACTTCACCTCCCCGGGGTCTGCTGGAAAGTGCCGTGGGCTTGAGGGATTTGTAAATCTTACACTAAGTAAATGGCGTCAGTTCCTCTCCACACCAACACCTTTCTGATTTATGCGAGTTTGACTCTATTTCATTCTGTAAAATACCCCAACTCAAATATTACTCTATGGTGGAGTAAAAACTCCTTCTCTATTGATCTCGCAAGCAGTCCCACTAAAATCGAGTCGGCCACTAATTTGACCCAGATAGCAGCATCTTGGGACGAGAGAGGAAATAAAAATGGAAATGAAGAACTTAAAAGAAAAGAAAAAGGGAGGAACAAGGAAAAAGAGAAAGGAATTTGGGAAAGGAGGGAATGGGGCGGCTCTGATGATATTCCCAGTTGGGATGCAATGCCATTTTCAAACTGTACACTGGAATGCTTGGGATCAAAATTAACAATAACGATTTAATTTTTTTGTACCGTTTTGTCGCCTCACAACCGCCTACAGACTGGTGAATTAGAAATCTCAGCCTGTTATAAATTTCACACCCCACTGAGTGTGCTCGATAGAAAGTCAAGAGAAATCAGTCTAAAATACATCACCTCTTAAACAGTTTTAGTGCATTAGTATTTTCAAAATGGTGGGCCCCAAGGTCAGCGTCTACTGCTGTGGCACCCTGCTGACGACCTAAAATACAGTCTTTATTCACAGTCACACTTACTGCGCTTCTGCAAACATGGATCTGAGGCTCTAGCAGAGGAGAGATTACAGGATATTATCGATGAGCTTGAGGTTTACAGACATGATAACAATATCCTCACATTCCAGACTTTAAGAGCCAGTTTGTTTTCCAAGAACAGACTGCCACAAATCTGAAACATGAAATGTTTATTACTTAAAAACAAGAAGAGATTAAAATGGACCCTATTTACCATTTAATATATGCATATATATACAGTTCTGTCATGACAACTCTCTGAGGGATTGGCATAGTAATGTACATGACAATGTTAATGTATTTGGTCTTGGCGGAATAGATCTGCTATGCTGCTGCTGCTGAGACTTGCTACAGCCAATACATCCACAACATGCTGCTGTGAGCATGTAAGAAATATTGCTGCTGCTAATATAACATACATGAAATAACCCCCATATAGCGTACATGAATCACCTCGTAGTAGATCTATACAGGTGGAGCTGGGGAAGGTGGAGGGTTTCTGAAGCAAGCTGCAACTGCTACTGCGATATATTTGAATGTTGAGCAGCGAGCTCATTGGCTACCGATACAGGAGAGAACCAATCAGCTGTGCCATGTGATAATGATGTCATTAGGTCAGACTGAGTTAGACCTATCGGACTGCGCCATCTAGAGTTTCATGCCAGAACTCTGTATTTATATATACAGTTATATATACACACAGTTTTATCTAGGAAATATGTGATATTTCATGCTGCCTTTAAAGTATAAGAGGGGCGATATTGTGGTATAGAGGACCAATAAAAACACAAAAAAGTGCACACAATCCCACACCACTAAAGTTTCCCAATGAATATTCAGTTTATAAATTTGACACCCCACTCATAAACTTAAAACGTTTATGAAAGTCCAGTGTGATGCGAATTACACTGAAACGTAAAAGACACATATTTAATCATTTGTTGGGTTTACTGTGAGATATTGCAGTCTAGATTACCAATAAAACACAAAAAGCACACACAACCCTTCACCAATATTATTCCCCACTGATTTATCTAACATTTTAGATTAGGGAACATATATTCACTGTTAACTAAGAGATTTCCCCTCGGTACACTCCAAATTTGCTGCTTATGGATAGTAAGTAGGGTTGTTGTTGTAGTACACTAATTATGTTTGGGTATTGGGTAGGGTTAAGGGATCTAGAATATGGTCATGCAGAATAAGGCATTAATATGTGCTTTATAAGTACAGCTAATATGCTGGCAATATGCATGCTAGTAAGTAGTGAATAGTGTTCCCTAATCTAAACTTTTACCAGTTCAACCAGGAGATGTGTCACACTACAGAAGTTAAAAATGTTGTTAATGCTATTTCAAGTTGTCTTTAAAGTAAAAGAGATATTTTTATCATTTTTTGGGAGATATTGTTATATAGATGACTGACAGAAACACAAAACGCACACACAACCCCTCACCACTATTGTTTCCCAGTCCAGTTTAACTTGGAAATATGTCCACACTCCAGAAGTTAAGTGTGTTGGGAATGTTATTTGAGTTTTTTTTTTAAGTATAAGACAAATACCTTATCATTTGCAGGAATTATTGTGAGATATTATAATATGGATGGCCATTACACACACGCTAAAACCAACAAATCCTCACCAGTTTCTGATCACTCCCTTTGACATACGTCTCCTCGTATGACTCATCGTTTCTGGTCCAGCTGTAGGAAATGAGGTAGCTGATGATGGGCGGATCGTAGGTGATCTCCGGACGGGACCATCGAACGACTAGCGCCGTCTTGTTCATGTGCTGGACGTTCATGTTGATCGGGGCACTGCTGCATGCTGTGTGAAAGACAAAAATGACAAAAAACGTGTGTTTAACTCTTTGCCACCACTTTAACCTTGAGCTCCGTTAGTGCCCTTAGATCCCACAGCCACTAGATGGCTCTGTTAGACTACTGACTACATCTACTCGGCTTTCATGTGTCCTGAATTGTGTCATGCCCTCTCTAAACACCAGCAGCATCCAAGTTGCTGTTAATCTATCCAGCAGAAGGTGTTTAATCACCGAGCGTGCCACAGTTTCTGGCGGCTGACAGCATGCGTAGGGGTGAGCTTCTATTCATAGAGAAATCTGACAGAAGAAGCCCTAAATTTTCTTTAGTTTTGGTCTTCCTAAAATGAGTGCACACATTTGCAACACAGGCGAAACACACACGCCTCCACACACACACACACACACACACACAAAGTATTCCCTCCCATATAGCCACAGGGGAGCCATTACATCCAAAACAATGCTAATTAAACTAATTCTGCCATTACTCCTCATGCCGAAGCCTCTATTAGCTCTAATCATGGGAGAAGTAATAGTGACTACAGTTGTAATCATACTGCATAAGGAATACAGTGATGCCTGCCCTGAGTTTCTCACAGATGGCGTGCATTCATGATTATAGCACACAAACGTGACTGTGACCTTTGAGGATGGAAGCTTGTCCTTTAAATAAGACCTTATGGACATTTCAACAGCCTCCTCTGGTAAGAGTTTATTGGGGAATTATGTTCAAAAGCTCATGAGCATCCCAATTTGCATACTATTCGTACTAAAAGATATTCAAGATTAAAAGCAGTGTGTCTCAAATCATGGTACACTGAATATATGCTAAAGGTATCCAGGCAGTACTGTTAATACTGTCCACAACTCCTTGCACAATGAAAGATGAGTTTAAGATGGTCTCTTTTCACCTTTTCAAAAGTGAGGAATGCTGTCGCATCCCTTTTTAATGTATGAACCTAAAAGTTAAGCTATAATAAATTTTAAACCTCAATGCTAGCGAGTTTGTCCCAAAACCTGCAAAGTGTTTCATTACTTACTCAAAAGTATGCACTTTCCCATCACACGCAAAGGACATAATTTTACCGCATAAGTATCCAAATTGGAATGCAGGAACAGTAATATACAGTATGGGACCCTAAAAGACTGTTCACACCAACAGGAATGTTTGGCATGGAAATGTGAAATATGAATCACCCTCTGACAGTAGGTGATGTTTACAGAAAACACAAAATACAGATATTTTATGTACAGCTACTATATAAAGCGCTGCACAACCTTCTGTTTCTGATACCCGAATGTCATGGTGAAGCTTGTTTTCAAACAACTATTCGCAAAAACGTAGCTCTTATTGGTCGGTCAGTTTTCTTCGCAATGCAATCTTCAAAATTGCTTGTCAACGCGGATGTCTACTGTTGTTGCATCTCTAGTAGTTTGTTGTTGGTGTTGCGTCTTTATTACGTCACGCACACTGTACACATACCCTAGCGTACATGTAAAATATCACGTAAATAGTATATTTTGCGAGTTAGTAGCATGTCCATTTAACACTTAACAGGAAGTGGAGTTAAACACAGACAAGTTTATATAGGCTCAAATCACAGTCGCAAGGAGTTAAAGCCTCAAAATTGTACTAAATTAAACTTAATTTGCTTAGGGCGATACCGTGGAAAAATTGACAAGAACATTGATCTAACTGACTTATGAAATCATATAATCACACCTTGGCAAAACTGCAGCTTTCCAAACTGTTTTACACAATCTCGAACTCTTCTGCATGATTGTGTTAAATTAGATATATATATATATATTTTAATGATAGATTTAAAAACGGTTCAACAGAATTCCAAGAAATCATCACAAGAAAAGTCTGATCATAGCATCTTCTCCATCCACACGGAGCACTACACTATATAACCCATCCCTACTCTCTCGCCCCACTCAGAAACACAGTCGCAGAGGTTACTGTGTGAGAGTGCAGGTCTCTTATGAGATGCACAGTAAAGCGTTTAATAAAAAGCCCACTGGCTTGTTGACCATGGAGAGTGAGATTAATGGAGGGATATAGCAGGAAAGGAGAGAAGGTGGGAGCAGAAGTCAAATTAGAGAGCGAGAAAGTGCAAACACTCCGTTAACCTTGAGCGGCTGTTTCGAACAAGTTGACACATAAGACCATTTTAAAGGAACAGTTCAGACACACACACACACACACACACACACACACAGGTTTGTTTTTGTGAAAAGTGGGGACATCCCATAGGCGTAATGGTTTTTATACTGTACAGACCGTATATTCTATTGCCCTACACCAACCCTACCCCTAAACCTACCCCTTACAGGAAACTTTGTGCTATTTCAGATTTTCAATACACTCCATTCTGTGTGATTTATAAGCGTTTTGAAAAGTGGGGACATGGGGTAATGTCCTGAAAAGTCACGTTCTCCTTGTAATACCTATGTCATACCCTTGTCATTAAACAAGTGTATGTCCTCATTTGTAACAAAAACGCGCACACACACACACACATACATATACACACATACACACACACACATACACAAAGAATATTCTACCTTTGAATGGGAAAAAAAAGCTTTTCTTTCAAAAAGATTTTGAGTGAAAAAAATGAACACGTTTCATTTTTTGGCATACTGTTCCTCAAAGCAAGTGTGTGCTAATGTGTTAGCATTAGCCACACAAGAACGGCTTGGATTACGCATACTTTAGCTTGAAATATTGAATGTGTAACACTGAAAAAACATTCAATTGACCATTTCCCAGCTGGACACACTCACAGTGTGCTGCGCCAAAATCTGTACTATATTCTGATAAAACTGATTTGGCTGTTTCGCCTACTGTGAAGGAAAGTTCAGCTATGATCCGGCGCATGTTTTGAATTAATCGAAGCTGACAAAAAGTTCAGCCCCAGCCTGCAGGCAACATTGATATGCTTCTGTTTTCAGCCTCTATCACACTATCACTCCGTCCTTTCATCCTTTTTTTCTTTATTCTATCCTTTCTATTCTTCAACGACAGCATATGGCGTCCGCAATCAATTTTGCACGGAGCTGAAATTAAACATATAACCAGGGTGCGATAAGAGAAGCATTTCACTCTTCGTATTACAGTATTTCATAATATTTCCCAGCACCCAATTTAATTATGTTCCGGATTCGGAATGCACTGGAATTTGAGCAGCTGTTTAGGAGGATCGGTGCAGTTCCGGCAATCCAAGAGTTATTTGAATCCGCATTAACAAGCTGCTCGGACAGAGAGAGTTAAATGGAGAGAGAGGACTGGTCAAGTCTCTGTACTTCTTCAACTACTGGTACTTTTGAGGACTTTTAATTTGTCTATTAAAGTCCAACAGTGGATACACACACATCACAGTAGAATTGTGACATTTTTGTTTTTCCTTCCCTGATCCGACATACGATAGTTATGAAATTAGTCCTAGCAACACAAAATAGTCAGCCATTTTAGTCTAAAAAAAATTTAATAAAAAAAAATGCTTAAAATGTCATTTCCACCACAAAATGACTTCTCGTTATGTGGTGAAAATGTCAAATAGCTTTAGAATAAAATGGTCAATTACTTTGTCTCGCTAAGGTTACTTTGGCTTACTAATTTATTAGCTATTGTAACATTTTATGCATCCTAAATACACATTAATATTTTATTTACACATTAAAATATTACATATTTTACATAATACATACAGGTGCATCTCAATAAATTAGAATGTCGTGGAAAAGTTCATTTATTTCAGTAATTCAACTCAAATTGTGAAACTCGTGTATTAAATAAATTCAATGCACACAGACTGAAGTAGTTTAAGTCTTTGGTTCTTTTAATTGTGATGATTTTGGCTCACATTTAACAAAAACCCACCTATTCACTATCTCAACTAATTAGAATATGGTGACATGCCAATCAGCTAATCAACTCAAAACCCCTGCAAAGGTTTCCTGAGCTTTCAAAATGGTCTCTCAGTTTGGTTCACTAGGCTACACAATCATGGGGAAGACTGCTGATCTGACAGTTGTCCAGAAGACAATCATTGACACCCTTCACAAGGAGGGTAAGCCACAAACATTCATTGCCAAAGAAGCTGGCTGTTCACAGAGTGCTGTATCCAAGCATGTTACCAGAAAGTTGAGTGGAAGGAAAATGTGTGGAAGAAAAAGATGCACAACCTGAGTTTTTGTTAAATGTGAGCCAAAATCATCACAATTAAAAGAACCAAAGACTTAAACTACTTCAGTCTGTGTGCACTGAATTTATTTAATACACGAGTTTCACAATTTGAGTTGAATTACTGAAATAAATGAACTTTTCCACGACATTCTAATTTATTGAGATGCACCTATATATACATACAGAATTATTAGCCCTCTTGGTAAAAATGAGCAAAGAAGTCTAAATAAATCTGCTTTGTTTATCCTTTGCATCTTTCATTCATAAAAATGAAAAAAGCTAACCTTTCATTGAAGCAAAGCAATTGAAAAACACATTATGAAATAAATGTTTTTCTCCAACACACATTGGCCACAGTAGTGCCAAGATTTCTGGTTGTTGTGGAAATTATGTATGAGGGACAATTAAAATAACAGCTTATTAGTTCACTCTCATGTTTATTATTACAGTTTTAAAAATACAGTGTCATATTGAAAGATAGAGCACCTATAAAGAGGGAGGATGATAAGAGAAGAATTGCGTCCGAAAGTGAGGAGGAACAAAGATCTCCATCAAAGGTCAGAACAGAGTCTGGCCAGGTGTAGATGTCGCCTCTTTACCCTGACCAAGACAATGAGGATGGCATGGTCTTTTTGACTTGTCATTTGTGTACTGTGATCTGTATTTGAGCTGTGGGGAAGGAGATGGATCACCAGGCAAGATTTTATGAACATGTGAGAGAACTGTAAATGAGAGGAGCTACCGCGGTACAATGCCAGTGCCAATCAATATTTCTTAAAGCCCTCCAGATATTATGCTCGATATAATACAGAAAAAGAGTGTGTAGGATGAATGTTTTTATGTATATGGGGTAAAAAACCTTTGTCTGTATTGAAAGGTAGTGGGTGTGTATTTTTGTTTGCCAATTTGTGTGGATCAAATGCTCCCATGAGGAAAACGGCTTCATAAAGGGATGTAAAAATGACAGTAAGGATTCGTTTGTTAGAGTTAAAGCCCTGTCACATGACCCACGTCAGGGCTTCAATGCCCCTCTCAACACAAGCATCAAGTGCCGCTGTGATCTCCACATGAAAAGTGGTGCACGAAAAGCATTTTTACAAGGTTGCTAGGCAGCAAGAAACAAGAAGTTTACACTGTAAACAGTGACGGAAAGGGCTAATATGAACTGAGTTTACAGCAGGAAAAAGTCCTGGTGTTTTTCTAAATGTCATGATATATCAAAATTTAGGCTTACAATAGCAGTCAAAATTTAATATCTCATTTAACGACTAAACATAGTTGAGTGACATGGAACTAGGACGGTCAATAGATTCAATAATTCAATATATATTTTAATAACATTTATGAGGCCAGTAAGGTTGTTTAATATTTTTGAAGGAAGTCTCTTATACTTTCCAAGGCTGCATTTATTTGATCACAAATACAGAAATGTAATAGTGTGAAATATTATCACAATTTAAAATAACCGTTTTCTACTTAATATATTTTGAAATGTAATTTATTCTTGTATTGGTAAAGCTGTATTTTCAGCATCATTACTCCATTCTTCAGTGTCACATGATCCTTCAGAAATCATTCTAATATGCCGATTTGCTGCTCAAGAAAAAAATCTTATTATCAATGTTGAAAACAGAACATTGGTAATAACAGCTTAATATGTTTGTGGAATCTGATACATTTTTTTCAGGATTCTGATGAATATAAAGTTCAAAAGTACATCATTCCTTTGTAACAATATATGTCACTTTTGATTATAAACAATTTAAGGCATCCCTGTTGAATAAAAGCATTAGAAAAAAAATAAAAATAAAAAAATAAAATAAATAATAATAATAATCCAAAATTTAAAAAACAACAACAACATTTTGATCCAAACTTTTGACTAGTATACACAAAAACATACACACACACACACACACACACACACACACACACACATATATATATATATATATATATATGGAAATGCAAACCCTCAGCTTAATACAAATCTACATAAACTTCATAAGTACATAAAATCTACTAAACTTCATATTAATATTTGTATATGGGTAATATGTAAATGGTGCGTTTATAAAATCACATGTGTGTGTGTGTATGTCTGAATGGTTCAACCATTAATGTCCAAATAACCTCAACATGAATCAAAGGAGCTGCCTTTTGGAAACCAGTAGAGGTAAAGCGTGTGGAGCAGATCTGTGGCGTAAAGATAGAGGTGAGAAAAACCTTGAAAAACCTTCAAGTGTGTCCTTGAAAAGCTGCAGTCCTGTGCATTTCCTGCAAGCACGACTGCCACATGGAGCAGAGAAATGAGCGAGAACATAGGCAAGTAAAGACAAAGCGTCTAATGACACAATAGCAGAGGACAGCACCATATGCCACCTACTCACTCTCATTACACAGACACTGACACACACGCGTTCACTCTTGCATTATGCTATGAATTATGAGCAAGCACTAATGAGGGAAATCTGATTCTAAACTGGTATCTAAAAAGAGTCTTGAGATTTTGAATACAGGATACGCGATGCACAGCCATTATATACAAACATCTGGTTTGACAGAAGATGCCAACCAATCAGCTGTCAGAAGAGCCCGCCCACCTTTGGAAGCCTCGGTACCGTACGGGTTCCCCAGGCTGTCAGTCAAGTCAGGCAGCCAAGCGTCTTTGACGGCGGATTTGAAGACCTCTCGGTTGTCCAGACTCTGGAGTGGGCGGAAGTTGTTACGCAGATATTCCACGGATTTAACATGATCCTGCTGTTCTGTGGTGAAGATGGAGTAGAACGCTTCCAGCTGAGAGAGAAAGAGAAAGAGAGTTCAGTATGTTTTTATAACTGTCTCTTATTTTTCAGTAAGTCATCTCCCAAGATGCCCGGAGTCTCTTTCCCTCCTTCCAAACTAGTGACTCAGAGGAATGTTATTTTAGCTCACAGGCTGATCAAAGACTGAAAACATGACCGACTGGCTGTCTTATTTTTGCCTCTGCTCTGCCTCACTAACCTTCTGCCTCCATCCCTCTCCTGCTTTCTAAAAACACTGAACGTTCAGCCGAACCCGCACACTGTCCTCTTTACCTTATCCCAATTCCTGTGGAATAGGAAGTCATCTGATGGATCACTTCAAACTAAAACACTGTATGAGTGAGGTTGAGGCTTAACCATTGAGAAACAGTAGTTTGGAGACATATTTTGAGGATAACAGTAAAACAGGTAAAATGGTTCATAAATAAAAGGATTGGATATCAACATTCATTCATTGATTCATTCATACTAAGGTTTAGATCAAGGTCGTTGTTTTTTTTTATTTGAGTATTTTTCACTTCTCAGCACCACTAGCTCCACTATCTGTCCGGGATGATACTGTACCATACTCAAAAACGTTTAAGTCACATGTTATTTGTCAAATTCACAACAACATTGCTGCACTCTTTGCTGACAATGAAATGTGCTATAAATGCACCATCAGCGCTACATTTAACAGTAAACTATGCATTATTGACACTGTGGCATTTTCAGTGTCAGTAATGCAGTTTACTGTTTATAACTCAAAATGAACTGCATCAGCTCAGCTCTTGCGTCAGATGACCACACCAGAGAACACCTTTTCCCTGGATTTGCCAAAGTTGGCACATTTCATAGCATATAATCTTTGAAATATTCAAGAGTTTTGTTTGAGACCATTTGAATCCACTTTTGTATTTGTGTCTTTACAACATTTCTCGAAGACAGCTGCTGTTTTAGCTTTCGTAACTTTTTTAGTTATTGGTAATGTGTTATTAATTATATAAAAGTGATAAACAGTAATTCTTTATGTAATACATTAATGTGAAATAAAAATATAAAGCATATAACAATGCTATAATTGTATTAATTTACATAAATGTTTCTAATTTGCTTGTTTTTATTTGTTTATTTGTTTTTATTTTAGCACTACTTGTCTTCCCCAAGTTTGAGAATATATATATATATACTGTATATACAGGTGCATCTCAATAAATT